ATTTTTTAGCCAATGATTCATAAGCCACATTCCCCCGGTTGCGTCTTAGCATTTTACAGCCGCCCTGTTTTAGGCTTATGGTATCCTTATATGGTAGTGGTTCATAATCAGTTTATGAAATTGGCGGAATCTTAAAAAAAGGCGTTTGTATAGTCTTAGAACTTCAGAAATAGGAAATACTAGTTGTAGACCTATACAAAGATAGGGTCCTTAATGCTTTGTGATTTATATTGGACTTCGATGGGACAACACTGCTAGTGAGGAAGACCAGCGAGATTTTAGCTTTTCTCTACCTTTTGAAAATCAGGGAGGAACGTACAATTCCGTTAACTTTCCAAAACAAATGAAAGCGGTGACATTCTAATATTGCAGATCGTCGTCAGTTTTATACATTTATACATTTCTCAGTTTTTTGAATTTTTGAAAAAAGATTCTTTGGATGGAAAGCAAGATTGACAAAACATTTTCATTTCCTTGATGTTTCAAATGCTCTTTTCCATCCTTTGCTTTTCAGCAATAGATTAAAGCAATGTCTTTTCATTACATAATTAGCATTATTAATCTAATTTTTATTTTATTCAAAGAATGAATTATTTATATCAATATGCACATACACAGAACATAGCCAAAGTATCCCCAGACATTATTTTCTGGTTATGTTTCCTTTATCCAGTCCAGTGGTTCTCAACCTGTGGGTCGGGACCCCATTTGGGGTCGAATGACCATTTCACGGGGGTCACCAAACCATGCTGTCCGCCATTTTTTTCCCTTTTCCCTAGCTGTCCTACTCCCTCTTATTGGTGGCCACACCCACTTGGGGGTCACCACAACATGGGGAACTTTATTATGGGGTCACGGCATTAGAAAGGTTGAGAACCACTGATCCAGTCATTTATCATCCACTTCTGTAGCAAATGCTTCAAGTTTATTCAAGATTTAAATAAGTTCATTTGATCTTACATCTTCAAGGTATTAGAATCATTTAGAGATCTGAAGCTAGCATATTTAATGTTTAAATACATAATGTATAAGTATACATACAAAGTCATATTTGCATGTAGTCCATTAGAACAAAATATTTTTAAAATTAACTGATAATATACTGGAGCACATTAAATGGAGCTATATCTCCTTTAGCAATAACAGTAGGATATATGGAAAATAATTCATGTTCTAAATAACATGGCAAAAAAAGGATATTGTAGTACGGGTTCTCAACCTCTGGGCTGCAGTCCACTACAGGGCCTTGGCCACCGGGCCGCGTGAATGGCTGGCCAGTGTGCAAACTCCCTTCCACTTGTACTAGTGCTGTCCTGAGTGTTGTGCAGGTGCTAGCCTTGTCCTGAGCATCACATGGGGGCTAGCATTGCCCGTTTGCATCTCGTACGCACACACAGCCTCATGCCTGCTCCTTCCTTTCCCTCCGGGCCACCAAGCTAGAAAGGTTGTAGCAGATGTACTTTGTTCAAGATAACACCTAGTGAGCTGAAACCAGCAGAGGAGGCCAGAAAAGACAGCAACCCAAGGGCCAAGGGCCACCAATCAGCTGGTATAAGCTGGATTTTTTTTTTTAGCCTCCATGCAACAAAGCCAAAACATTTTGAAATGTCCTGACAGTGAGAACAATTAAATGAGCAGAATGACTTCCCTCCAGAAGTTGTGGGTGCTTCATCATTGGAGGCTTTGACTACACAACCATTTGTGTGAAATGGATCCTGCTTGAGCAGGGGGTTGGACTAAAAGATCTCCAAGGTCCTTCCAATACTGTGATTCTGTTAGTCTAACAAAGAGAAGAGGTAGCTTCACAGCAGTCTTCAAATATTTGAGGGGCTGCCACAAAAAAGAAGGGAAACAACCTGTTCTGCAAAGCATCTGAAGGCAGGACAAGAAGCCATGGATGAAAAGTAATCAGTCAAGGAGAAAAGCAACCTGGACTGAAGGAGAAATTTCCTAATGGAGAACAATTAATTAGTGGGACAGATAGGCTTCAGAAGTTGTAGATGCTTTATCACTGGAGGTTTTTAAGAAGAGATTGGACAACCATTTGTCTGAAATGATATAGGGTCTCCTGCTTGAGCAGAGGGTTGAACTAGAAGATCTCCAAAGTCCCTTCCAGTTCTATTCTGATTACATATTTGTCTGAAATGGAATAGCATCTCCTGCTCGAGCAGGGGGTTGGACTAGAAGACCTCCAAGGTCTCTTCCAGCTCTATTCTGATTACCTTACAGCTAGTTCGCCCCCTGCAGTGCACCAAGGATAGGCACCCAAGTGCCAAACAGAATGAAATAGCAATTTAGGTTGTAAGGACTGCATTGTATCTAGCATGTAAATTTCCCTAACTAAATAATGTTTATTTATTTAAATAAATAATGTGTATTTAATATATTAAGACATAAGGCAATAATATCTAGTCCTTCCAATCTCTTCAGAAGTTTTATTCAGGCTTTGGAGGTTCCCAAAGTACAAAGCTGCTTCCAAAAAAAAAATATGATTGACTGATGATACAACACTCTTGAATCATTCAAGGACAAGTCTGCAAAAGAATATAATCTGAAGTCATCATTATGTACGAGCAAGTGTTGAAGGAAAATTCTTCATCAGGGTTCAGTCCAAGCTGGGAATAAACAACATGGCGACTGCTTTAGAAAGTTTATTGACGAGGAGAGCCAGACAGAAAGATGGCTCTAGAAGAAAAGAGAGAGAGAGCACATGTAGGCAGTGGGTTTTTATACCCTCTGGGGCTCTTGAAGTTCTTGTTCCTGTTTGAGGCTTTGTATTTCCTGTATCATGTACTTTGACCTGAGTCTGAGTATGCCCCTTTGGCATCTATGGACTAATCCTATTATGTCCTGTCTTAGAGTTTGTATGTAGATTTTAGGTGTCTTTGTCTTCCTAAGCTTCTAGCTGGAGGGCTCCAACCTTCCTGAATGGATTATCACATCTGCATTTCTACAGAGCTGGTTTCTGCTTGGGGGAGGGAGATTTGGGGCTATTAAGAAAAACTGGGCATGCTTTTCTGCCTCTTTAAGATCCTTTGACGAAATATAATATTCTGCCCTTTTAATATTTCCTTCGGGGGGGCTGATTTCCCACACAAGTATGCCACCTATGACATGTGTACTAAAAACAGTTTATAAGAAAATGGTTCAGTGGACTGATCTCACTCAATTAATTTCAAGTAAAAGTGTCTGACAAATTTTTATTCCTGGTGAATGCATGAACATATCTGTGTAATTTTCTTGATAGTAATATGAAAATGGTTTGCCATGTTTCGCAGGATTTTATTTTACTTTACTTTCCAGTCGTCTATAGCCCTGCTATTCTATAGTATCAACAAGATTCAACCAACTCTATCTTTTAAATGCAGATGGACTGCTGACTCTTGTCCTACTGGTTTTGTTCTCCTATGTTATGCCATACGTTTATGAAGCTATTGTTTCATTTTGTTGGGGAAATGAAACAACTTCATAAATGTATGGCACAACATAGGGGAACAAACGCATCAGGACCAGATTCAGCAGCCCATCTGCATTTAAAAGACAAAGGCCACTCTTTCGAAGATAGCAAAGTCCACATTTTGCATAGAGAGGGCCGCTGGTTTGAAAGAGGGGTTAAAGAGGCCATCTATGTCAAAACTGAACAGCTCTCTCTCAAGAGATAGAAGGATTCAATATCGTCTATCTCCAATCTCCAATATAGTCCTTTCAACAGTTCCAATAAGGCTCCACACCCATTTGTGCAACTCAGGTGACCCTGAAGACATAGATAAGCTTCCAGGTAGATTTAACACTCACTAAAAGAATGCAAATGAACAGTTGTCTGCAAGGAGTATAAATCCTTCCATTCCCCACCATCCAGTCAGAGCTGAAGGCTTCTTGGATGAGAAGCGAAAATCTTCACACACAAAAACAACACAAGAAAGTCCAGTTGTCTTGTGAAAAAGCATCCTTGAGATAACCAATCCGCTCCTAAAGAGTCTATGTTCCTGTGTTTGGCTTTCTCAGCAGGACAGTAGCCTTCCCGTCCACTGACAGGTCTTCCCAGCGAGTTACATTTCCTTTGCAATAGACCAACTCCAATCCCATAATCTCTAATGTATGGAAAATTAAATCAAACTATCTGGAAATTTAACCGTCAATAAACAGTCGACCATAAGCTTTTTGGATTAAGATATGGTGGAATATTCAAAGAATTTTTAGAAGGAGGGTAAAATTTACCCCACAATTGTTTTTGTTAGGTATTGTTACTGATTGTGATACTAAAGAGACTACATTGATGTTAAATTTAATTACAGCGGCAAGGTTGTTAGTAGGGCAATGTTGGAAGAAGGAATCTTTGCCTACTTTGCAAGACTGGTTTTTTAAAGTTTCTTATTTGGTGGAAATGGCAAAGATTTCGGCTTTCTTGAAGGATCAATCGCAAGAGAAGTATTTTGTGGTATGGAAAAAATGGATAGACTTTATACAATATAAGTTGGATATAAAAAAATATTATTTAGCTTTTCAATAACTCATATTTAAAAATTTAAAATATTTTATAGACCTTATTTTTTTATTTTTTTTATTTTTTTCTTTTTTCCTATTTCTTTTTAAGTATTTTTTTGTATTTATGTTTAATATATATATTATGGTTAAGTATCTTATAATCTGTTTAATTAATGTATTTAGATTTATTCATGGTTTAAATCTTTTTAAAGATTTTTTGAAGAAATTTCAATTAAGCCTATATTCAGCTCTGGGAAGGTCGGTGGAGGGAATGGGAGGGTTGGGGAGGTTCGGGGAAGGGTTGTATTGTTTTGTAAAATTTAAAAACTTTCAATAATAAATAAATAAATAAATAAATAAACAGTCGACCATAACCATAATATAGCGGCTACGTGCTCTGCTGATCCAATCACGCTCCATTTACGGTGACCGCAATTCCCAGCATACTCACGTGTGTCTCTCGGCGCATTGTATACTGGGAAATGTGGTTTCCGATGAGATCCTGAACTACCAGTCGCACTGCGCATCTGCAAGCTATCGTGGTACAGTTTCCTTACGGGAGCTGTTCTGTGATTTGCGGGAAATGGGGGTGTCCTAGCAACTAGGCCAGCCAGCAGCTACTGACGATTCCAATGACCCCGTATAAAGAAACGGCCGGCGAAGAGCGAAAGAGTCGGTCCAGCCGCTGCTTGGAGCTTGGGAAAGGAAGGGAAGCGGCCTTTCGAATTGCTGTGGCCGCTGTTCAGCGCCTTGTTCCATTGCTACAATTTTGACAGAAGCCCAGGAACTTCTGTCCTAATTCCCCGTGTTCGTTCTATCCAACTGTCCCCTTGGAACTGCCCCCGAAATTTTAGAATAGTGCCCGGGTAAAAAGTGAGGAGGCGAGATCCCTTTGTAATCTACACCTCACGTGCTAAAGGATGCTCGAGTCTATTCGAGTCACTGGTGAGTAATAATGCCGCACGGTCTTTGTTTCCTCATCCGTCAGATCCTTATAGTAATAAAACGACGGGAAGAAAGAGGTTTGGATCCAGCATCAGTTACTGCAATCCAAGAAAACCTATTGAAATAGGGCGCAAATTAATCCTTACCGCTTGTCCCATTGATTTCAAATAGATCCGCTTCAAATAGATCGTTTTAAGTTCAGTTTTAGCAATGTGTCATTTCTGAGAAGAATTTAAATCCAACAGAGAGCAATTAGATCAGTCCCATGAACTCCGTTGAGTAGAGTAATATGGGCTTGATTTAATTGAAAATATATCAACTCTGCACAGTAATGATTAAAAAAAGCACATAATTTATTCTCAACTGGGAATTGTTTTTTCACATAATTACCTAATGGAGTAATGTGTTTTAAGTAAATTATTTTATTATTTTCAAGATTAGTATGGGTATTTTTTGCATAATTACAGAGATAGCATTACCATAATCAGACACAGTTTGGTCGGTCTCTCTCTCTCTCTCTCTCTCTCTCTCTCTCTCTCTCTCTCTCACACACACACACACACACACACAAAGAGAAACACACGTAAATCTATATAAACAAACATTGATCTGTCTATACAGAAAAAAGAGGATCCTTTTCTCTTTGCATAGACAGAAAAACTCCTGAGATCTACTATGGCGAAAGATTCATGGAAAGATGATTTCCTTTCCTCCTTATATACAAACAGGTAAATTAATAGCCATGCTCTATATGGTTGAAGTTGTTTGCAACCATGTTAGGGCTACCAGTTCTGGCCTGCACACATCAAGGCTACAAGATGCCATCAAAGAATTGGAGTATTATATATCTGTTTTCTGTCATCTAATGCCTGCCTGGATGTTTACAATGCTGTTGTGGTAACTCTAAGTCAAATCAATTCCCTTCCTTTTTGTCCTGAGAAAGACATTTCCTTTGCTGCCAGATTGTTTTATTTTCTTTTGTGTATAGAAGGAGAATAACTTGCTCTGAGTAGGATAGGATTTCAAGAGATGAAATTTTGGGGAGTTTTCAACTCATTCCTGTATTAAATTACTCACTTGAGGAAGCCTCTTTGAGCAGGTCACATGAGTTGCAAGAACTCTCCCTCTCCTATTATGGAATCTATATATTTAAATTCAGTAATATTGCAAACGTTCCAGTTGCAGCTGTTCTTGTAAAACAAGGAATGCTAGCACTATCAGTGAACAGACTTCCTTGTGCTTTTGATCTGGCCACATTGTCCCTCAGATACTTCAAAGAAGCCATCTTGAGGAGAGAAATTCCATCAGCTGGCATTAACTGTCCAAATATTTATTGGCTATAAAACATAAACCTGTACAATGCTTTCTTCCAGGGTTTTTTTTTCTGTTTTAGATGGACTGGCCTGCAGATTCCCTTTCCTCTTGTTATGAATTACTCTTAAATTTCATTCTTCCCATTTTGGTTTCATCAGCATCCCACCAAAAGTTTTTATACCCATCAATGTTGGTTTCAGAATCACTGAATCTACTCAGTTTTTCTACCTCAGCAGAGTGTGGCAATCACAAACCAAGGAAAACATAAAATTTCAGAGTTGAAATGAGGTATAAATTGGATTTTTAAAGAAAATTACTAGATATACCTGAACTGAAGTGGTTAAATTATATTATTTATATTATATTAATCAGGGCATGAGACTAAAGGGAATGGAATTGTAATGATACTAAAAAGGACATAATAAAATTTTTATAGCTTTTAATAGTGAGTGCCACACTAAGTGCACTAATCAAACAGGTGCTAAGGAAATAGGGGAACTCAGGCACCACACAGGTTATATAGAAAGTAAACACAGGATCAGTCATAAAGGACTCAAATATCTATTCACCAATGCACAGAGTATGAGCAATAAAAAGGGTGAATTAGAAGTTCAGGTAAATGAGGGCAGACATGATATTGTGCCATTACAGAAACTTGATGAGATGAAACCCACAAATAGAACACACAGTCAGAGGAATTTAAATCATTTAAAAGAAACAGACCAAATAAAAGAGGTGGGATTGCTCTCTTTATAAAAAATAACTACATCTCTACAGAAATAGAGCACAACAATGATGAAAACTATCTTGAATGCATTTGGATCAATATAAAAGGGGAAAAAATGACATTGCCACCCAACCAAACAGAGGAAATAAATGAACGTTTTGCTAGTCAGTTAATTAACTAAAGTATGTAGGAAGCACATCACAATAGTAATGGGTGACTTTAATTACCCTGACATCAACTGGGAGACAAACTCTGCACCAAGTGGAAGATCAAACAGATTCCTGACAACCTAGCAGACAAAAAGTAGAGAAGGGAACTAGGGGATCAGCAATATTGGACTTAATTCTCACTAACAGAGGTAAAATGATAGAAGGTGTTGAAGTCACAGGAGCCTTGGGGGGAATGATCATTCAATATTGGAATTCAACATTATGCAAGCATAAGCAATAGAACATAGCCAGCTAACAAGTGTCATAGACTTTAAGAGATAATTTCTATAAACTTAGAGCTTGGGAAGGATTCCATGGATGAGAGTCCTCAAGGCCAAGGGGAAAACAACTCAAGAAATTTTGAAAAGTGAAATTATAAAAGCCCAGTCTAGCACAATACCACCGAAGAAAAAAATAACAGCTCTCAAAAGAAACCAGCATGGCTGCATAAAGAACTCTCTGATAAATTGAAAGACAAAAAGGACAAGTATAAAAAGTGAAAAGAGGGGCACCATAACTAAGGCAAAATATCAGCAAATAGCCTGAGCCTGCAAAGATGAATTGAGGAAAGCTAAGGCTCAAAATGAACCAAGACTTGTGACAAAAGTCAAAAATAACAACAAAAACAAAACTTGTTTCAACATGTAAAAAACAAGAAAAAAGTTAAGGAAATGATCGGTCCATTAGTGGGAGAAAGTGGCAAGAAGGTGACAAACAACAGAGAGAAAGCAGAACTATTTAACTTGTTTTTTTGCATCCATCTTTACGCAAAGGGAAAAAACAGTCCGACCTATGAAAAACAATACCATAAAAATAAGATTAGAAACTTAAGTTAAGATAGATAAGAAAACGGTAAATGAACACCTGTCTACTCTAGATGAGTTCCGATCACCAGGACCAGATAGATGACACCCTAAAGTTCTGAAGGAATTGGCAAATGTGATCTCAGAACCACTGAAGTATATCTTTCAAAGATCCTGGAGCACCAGGAAACTACCAGAGGATTGGAAAAGAGCTGATGTAGTTCCCATCTTCAAAAAAAGGGGGGGAATGGATCCAGGAAACTACAGACCTATCGGCTTGACCACAATATCTGGGAAGATTCTGGAAAATATAATCAAGCAATGAATTAGCGGGGCAAATAGAGGCAAACAAAGTCATTACCAAAAGCCAACATGGGTTTGTCAAAAACATCACACCAGGCAAATGTTATTTCATTCTTTGACTGGTGACAAAATTAGTGGACCAGAGGAATGCTGTGAATATAATTTACTTGGACCTCAGTAAGGCATTTGATAAAGTAGTCTACAACCTACTACTTGATAAGATAGAAAAATGTGGGTTAGACAGCATCACCACCAAAAGGATTCGTAGCTGGCTGACTGGCTGTATGTACTCAGTGTGTGGTCCTCAATCGAACTGCATCTACATGGAGGAAAGTGTGTAGTGGGGTGTCCTAGGGCTCTGTTCTCAGCCCAGTGCTCTTCATCATCTTCATCAATGATTGGGATGCGGGGATAAAAGGGGAAGTCATCAAATTTGCAGAAGACACCAAGTGGCAGGAATAGCCAACACTCCAGAAGATAGGCTTAAGATACAGAAAGATCTTGGTATACTTGAACACTGGGCGCTATCTAACAAAATGAAATTCAATGGTGAAAAAAGTAAGGTTCTACATTTAGGCAAGAAAACTCGAATGCACAGGTACAGTATAGGTGGTACATTGCTCAACAGTAGTAACTGTGAGAGGGATATTGGAGCCCTAGTGGACAATCACTTAAATTTGAGCCAGCAGTGGCTGCAGCTGCCAAAAAAAGCCAACATAGTGCTAGGTTGCATTAACAGAGGGATAGAATCAAGATTACATGAAGTGTTAATATCACTTTATAATGCCTTGGTAAGGCCATACTTGGAATTCTGCATCCAGTTTTTGTCTCCATGATGTAAAAAAGATGTTGAGACTCTAGAAAGTACAGAGAAGAGCAACAAAGATGATTAGTGGACTGGAGGCTAAAACATATAAGGAACAATTGCTGGAATTGGGTATGTCTAGTTCAGGGGTTCTCAACCTTGATAACTTTAAGACTTGTGGACTTCAACTCCCAGATTCCTCAGCCAGCTTTGCTGGCTGAGGAATTCTGGGAGTTGAAGTCCACAAGTCTTAAAGTTGCCAAGGTTGAGAACCCCTGGTCTAGTTTAAAGAAGAGAAGGACAAGGGATGACATGACAGCAGTGTTCCAATATCTCAGGAGTTGCCATAAAGAAGAGGGAGTCAAGCTATTCTCCAAAGCATCTGAAGGCAGGACAAGAAGTTTTCAGGTTTGGCTACTGTGGTGGTTAAGCTCGATGCAAGGCTTGAGGAAGTGGAAAACAAAGTTGATTCTTTTGATGATAAAATTCAAGATGTGGAAAGGAAGGTGGAGTCCTCACAAGAAGATATCTTGATGTTTCAGTACAGACAGATGGAGTATGCCCTGAGGATTAGAGGCCTCAAGGAAGATATGAATCAAGATTTGGTGGAGGTGGTCCTTACTGATCTGGCGGTGGCCTTGGATATGGATAAAGGAGAATTACATAGAGAAGTGGAAAAAATTTATAGACTCAACTCCTGGATTGCTAAGCAGAAGAATTTGCCTAGAGATGTGGTGATTTATTTTACAAAGAAGTCCCTGCGGAATGAGATTATACAAGCCTTTTACAACAAAAGATTTCAGATTGCTGCCCAAGATGTTATCATTCTAAAGGAAATC